ACACACACACACACACACACACACACACACACGCACACACAATCACACACACACACACACACACACACACACACTCTCTCTCTCTCTCTCTCTCTCTCTCTCTCTCTCTCTCTCTCTATCTATCTATCTATCTATCTATCTTTCTTTCTCTCTCTTCTCTCTCTCCTTTACACGCATACACACACACACACACAAACACGCACACACACACACACACGCACACACAACCACTCTTCAGCCCTCTGTTTGCGTTATGGTAATATATTACAGACCCATTGCCTGCTCCCTCGAAGACACGTAAGAGGTTCCTCATGGCCACTGTCATGGCAGAGTGTCGCTCAAGGACACCCAGACCCAGATATAGGCCTTCATGTACACAATGTACATATTGGTGCAGGTAGTTTAAGGGGACCCTACGGGCAGGACCTATACTTCTCTCCATTATCTTTCTTGTTTCTGTCGGTCTGTCTATCTATCTAGTTGGGTTTTGTTTTGTTTTGTTTTTTGTTTTTTGTTGTTGTTTTTTTTTTGGGGGGGGGGGGTTTGTTGTTCTCTGCTCTGAATGATTGTTATCGTGCCGATGTTTCACTCTTTGGTGTAGTGGGTGGTTGGCGGGTGCTCTGGTATGGTTTGCTCCTTCTTTCTTATAATAAAATGTATCGTCTCTATCTTCCCTCCTTCTTTTTTGTGTTTGTTACTGTCTTGTAACACATCTTATCTTCGGCACTTAAATGATCTTATTGTGTTGCAAGTGCCGTAAAACTCTTACGAAAACTAAAGGAAGATAGGGGATGCTACGGGTAGGATCTATACTTCTTTCCCTTATCTTTGATGTTTCTGTCTGTCAGTCTGTCTGTCTGTGGTTGGCGGGTACTCTGGTATGGTTTGCTCCTTCTTTCCTAGATAAAAAAAGCTATCGTCTCCGTCTCGCCTCCTTCTTTTTTGTGTTTGTTTCACTATTGTAACATGTCTAATCTTCTGCACTTAAATGACCTTATTGTGTTGCAAGTGCCGTAAAACTCCTACTAAATCTAAAGGTAAGTTGGGGACGCGACGGGTAGGTCCTATAGATATATACTTCTTTCCCTTTTCTTTGTTGTATCTGTCTGTTTGTCCGTCCAGTTTTTGTTTTGTTTTTTCCTGCTCTGAATGATTGTTATCGTGCCGATGTTCCGCTCTTTACCAAAACAAACCAACAATAAACAATATTATATAAACCACACAATAAACAATATTATATAAGCGAATCAATTAAGCGTTTAGCATTAACATTTGTTCTTGAGCAGCATCAGCATTATATATTGTATCCTTCCATCTTTTACTCTTTAGTTTTTTTTACACAAATGTCCAGAATTCCGTCTTAAGAATAAGTAGCAAATTAAATATAATCGAACCTTCTCTAACGGCCACCTGTCCTAAATAATCACCTATGCTGTGGACCACTCCCCCCCCCCCCCCAACTGACACACACAGACCCACCAACACACACACACACACACACACGCGCACACGCGCGCGCGCGCACACACACACACACACACTTTTTCATGGCCATTATAAAGAGTAATAAATTATCATGACCCTGCACAAGACATCTGCCTCAGACATCCGCTTCTTTTCCTCGATAATGGGTGGCCTTCATGTACAATTTCGACTCTATCTGCATCAAGAAGAACTCCAGATTCTTCTTCTTCCAGTGTCAGACTTCAAACAAAATACGAGATCAAGATTCGTTACTCATTTTTAATTTTGATCTCTTCCAGTCGCACGACATCTGAAGGTAAAATTCTCTGGATCCACCCCTGCCTTTTTTGCATTCTATTTTATCCAGAGAGAGTGGGGTGTTCAGTAGACACTTTTGTCGATTCAAGTGCCCCACGCCAGCGTTTTGCAAAAGCCCGCTCCCCCCCCCCCCCCCCCCCCCCCAAAAGAAGGGTTAAGTTTGAAAGAAATTTTTTACTTTTGGGCTCCCCCTTTTTTCTCCCCGCAAGTATTACCAGAGGGGGCCCCCTTTCCAAAAAAAGAGCGTCAGGCCCCGAGGGGATTTTTTTTTG